GCCCTCTGGAGCCTTCAGGAGGCTTCCCTGAAGGCTCCAGAGGGCAAAAACCAGCCCTACGAGCAAACCGGAAGTTACTTACGGTTTGTCCATAGGGACAATTTTTGTCCTCCGGAGCCTTCAGGGAAGCCTCCTGAAAGCTCCAGAGGGTGAAAAATGGCCCTACGGTCAAACCGGAAGTCCATCCCTGAACTTCCAGGTTGTCAGGGCCAGTTTTTCACGCTCCAGAGGCTTCGAGGACTCAAAAAAAGGCCAAAGTCAGCTGGCCAGCGAGCGCCTCGCGTGCCCTGACAAATGGCTCCACGTGCCATAGAGTCGCCATCACAGGCCTAGGCCATCTTTATGTAGAGCAACAATTCATTTTTTTTTCATATCCTCAAGAGAGTTCATTGCCATGAGGTGCCATGTTAAACTTCCAGTGACCAGTATGAGAGAGTGAGAGTGGTAACACCAAATTTGACAAACCTGCTACCCCTTCACACCTGAGACCTTGTAACACTAAAGAGTCACATGGCAGCAGGGAGAAAAAATGGTAACTTGCGCCCCATTTGGACATAATCACTTAGGGGTTGTATTCACTTTTGTTGCCAGCAGTTTAGACATTAATGGCTGTGTGTTGCATTATGTTGAGGGGACAGCACATTTACATTGTTATACAAGCTGTATACTCAAAAATTTGGCAAATATCTGAAATCATGCACTTAGGACAGGAAGAGGAAGATTTCTAGAAGACTTTCTTTGATTGACATAGCAAACTGACAATTGGACATTTATGAGAAGAATTGCAATGGGAGGCTGGATCCAGGTTGGCAAAATCTCTCTGAGGGAAGCAGAGATGTCCCTCCAGACAATAGATCCTTGTGAAGAGACCACAGGAACTGCCATTTTGCAGTTGGCTTGTAAGAGTCAGGGCCAAGAATTCGGATTCCATCAAAGGCACATTTGTAATGCAATCTTTTATTGGATGTTAAACTTGACTAAGCCTTATTACTTAATCATTTTTTGGATTTTTTAAATCCTGAAAAGATTAAGACTCTTCAGTTCAGAAAGGTTTTACTATATTCATTGGGTAAATGTCCTTCTCCTATGTGTGTGTGTGTCCGTGCACACGTGTGTGCATGCACACTCACACACACAGCAAAAAGGTGCTTTGAATAAGGATTTTAGAAAGCTAAGAGAGGATTAAGGGTTCCAAATGGATTTGGAATTATAGCTTTGAATTAATTAGAAGAAATTTTCCCATGGGAAATGGCGATTGTTTCGGGTCTTTCTATGAAAAGAGTATCTTGATATTTGGCCCTAGAGGGAGGTAGAGAATCAAGAAAAGAATGGAACATAACGTAAAGTTTTTGAAAACTGCTCTGCCAAACCTTTTGATAAAACAAACAGAGCATGTTGTAATGAAGTGATAGAACCAGTTGTAATGGGTAAATTTTGAAATTATTTTGGAGGGGGATTAAATACGATAAGCAATGAGAAGGATATGAAGAAAGGTATGGGCATACAAAAGGAACTGCTTACTTATTTCATAAAGAGATGTACTGAATAATCATTGAATCAGGAAAATGACTTGGATAACTTTTTCTTACTGGATATACAAAAGGGCTCTGTTAAGGTGTTGAAGAACTTTATTAGAAGTGACAAACAAAAGAACAAATTTTACTTATTGCATATACAAAAGAAATTTGTTTAAGTTCTGAAAAAAGTTAGCTTAAAAAAGATGAACAGAAAACTAGCTCTCAGACTTTTTGAAGAGGTTAAAAATTTAATTCTTGGTCCATAGTGGAAGCAAAAAGATGGCAACGGTCAGTAGGACATCAGGGACCACAAAGTGCTGGGGGAGTGGTGGTGCAAAAGGGCATAGATGGGGAAGAATATCGGCAGGTAGGGGGATTAAAAGTAGTCTGGTAATCAAAAGTGTAGGCAGGCTGTCAATATCTGAATTTTGATCACGTGGCAGTTGGACTGCTGCAATAACTGTAATGTCAGGGACCAGTCATAAATCCCTTCGTTCAGGACTGCTGTAACTTTGAACAGTTGCTGAACAAATTATCATAAGTCAAGGACTTCTTCACTTCACATACATTGGTATCGCTAGAAGCAGGATTTTGTCATATATATAATCCTAAAATATTCTGATAATTTCAGAGCAATAACGTGTTTTGATGATGGTATACTGCATTAATTATACTATTATTCATTAAAATACCTAAACATTCTAACACGTTTATATGGATGATAGTAAAGTTTTTAAAATGCTCCCAGGGTTCTTTTTAAAATTAATAAAATTATCTCTGTTCTCCTGCACAAAACAAGAGATTTTGCAATGTTTTCATAGAAAACAGCTAGAATGTTTACAAATATATACTATTTGTAATTAATAATTAAATATGGCAAACTATTAATAGACTGCTATGATTACACATTAGATAGGATTCAATATCTACGATCAGAAGAGGAACAGAAATGTATTCTTTTGTCCCATGCTCCTTGCAGGGGTTCCATGTGGCAGGGGTCTGTGATGAAGAGAATGCAGCATACAGCTCAGTGAACTGAAGAGTAAAAGATTGTGTAGTAAAAAAAAAAAAAAGAAGAACCACTTTTGTGAGTGATTCCTTCATAGAACAACTTCCATGCAATTATCCATTACAGTATACTCTCTTTTCACTTTGACTGTTTGGCTTTTCCTCGGAGAGGACACAGGGGGAAAAGATGTAGCAAAAATATATTCAACCCACCATATTCTGCTGAAGGATCTTGGATATTACCCCATGGTATGTTAAATGGCCTAAGGTTAAAATGTTGTTCAGTTGATACAACAAACATGACTTATGTTCAATAATGAATGAGACCGACCTTACCACTCTCCTCTTCTCTAAAACCCCTCAATGGCCATTGCTAACTCATTTTAACATTATTTGAGCCTCTTCCTGGAGTCTAGCCTGTGTAACAACTACTATGCCATTTGCCTGTAGCTGCTACCTGCTGTGGACCAAAGGAACAAAACTAAAACAAGCTTTGGATTATTTTGTTTTTGTCTCTTTGATTAGTGAAGACAGCAAGGGCAGAGAACACACTATGCTTCAAAAAAAGGAACAGTCCTTGGGAAGGTCTGTGGAGTTGACGGCAGTAGCCAGCTGCCCTGATCAGAGACATACATTCATAGCTAGCAATGCCTGGGACTGCAGAAAAAGCTAGAGGTCACCACAATCTATTCAAATATATTATCAGTTAAATATATATAATTATAATTGGTCTTGCAAAAGCCACTTAGGAAGAAGATAAAAATCTATTCTTAAACTGGATCTATGGTTAAAAGTATTTGTGGAACAAAAATATAAAACTGCAAAAGTGCCTACACGAACATATAAAAATGCCTACAAATAAAAAGAACAGTCTACTGAAATGCTTGAGTTGGCTACAGTGCTGCAGTAGTCTTCAGATTTCTTATTCCAAAAAGATACAGATACAGCCTGTGTTTTCTAAATGGCATTTCCTGAGACAAATTGATTATTTTCCTACATGTTGGAGTTATTTGAATTTAAATATTCAACTAACAAGTTGATTCATGTATTCTAAAACCATTATTTAAGGTAGCATCTGAAATAAGCATGATTATTAATTTGCTTAGTCTTCCAGCAACGACTTGAACAAACCTCATCAACTTTTATTACAAATAATTAGTACTACAAATATTCTGTCTGATGACTTCAGCTCACTATAATCCATGCATCCTTTTCAAAGGAAGGAACTGGAGAGAAGGATGAATAAAACACATTGTTGTGCATATAAACTTTTCTTATAATGGGTGTCCAATGAATATTTCACTAACAACTGAGAATCAGGGACCATACAAACAGCATTAAATCTACAAACTGGACTTAAAGTGTCCACTTTCCAAATCAAAATAATGTAAATTACAAAAACAATGCTGTTCAAAAATTCTTTCTTCTGACAATAGGCTCATTAGAGACAGCCTATCAAGAATTCAATGACATTTACATATTTTCACTGCTATGGCAATAATATAGAACAAAAACAGGATTACAATACCTCGTTTTTTTCTTGCTTCTTTAATTTCTTCACACGTTTTGTTGAATTCTGGGTCCAGCTCAGCAGCAATGATAGCATGTGCCGTATCCTTCAGAGTACAGGCTCTGTGTCTAATAATTTTATCTATAAAATGAGTATAATATAACTTTATAGTATCATAACACACCACAAAGTCATTTTTGTTGACTTTTAGTTTTTTAATAATTTTTGCCCTAGAAGGTGTATAGATATATAGAAGTATTGGTATATAGAAAAAAATTATACATTTACATCAAACTGCAATTAACAGAGATTAAAGAAATCATATTTCCATCATGAGTCAAGTAGCAAATATAATGTAAATAGAAAGACAACTTAAGTCCTCCCCCCAAATAACAGAAGAAAACAGAAAATGAGCAAGATGCATCGCTGGCTGCAAAACCAAAGCTGAAAATGAGGGATGCCTCTGAAGATTGGATTGGATTGGATTGGATTTATTCGATTTGTATGCCGCCCTATTCCCAGAAGGACTCAGGGCGGCTGAACAAAAGCCAAGGGAGGGGAAATTACAAAAAGTAAGACAAAACAAGACAACAATACAAAACAATTTAAAAACACAACAAGCACAACCAAATTCGAGAAGAGGTGGAACTCAAGACCCCCAGGCCTGCTGGGACAGCCAGGACTTAACGGCTATACGGAAGGCCTGAAGGGTGGCGAGGGTCCGAATCTCCATGGGGAGATCGTTCCAAAGGGCCGGAGCAGCCACAGAGAAGGCCCTCCTCCGGGTGGTCGAAAGCCGGCATTGGATTAGCCTAACAATCAGTTGCCGCTTGCAACTAATGGTTGGCCTGGTGAATTTAACCTTGTTATTTACTTGTTTGTCATTTCATGCTTTCTCCTACCCTCAATGTCTATTCTGGTCTTCTCCTATCTTCTTCTTCTCTCTTCCCCTTCCCACAGCACCTATCCCCCCCCCCCCGTCCACTCACCCCATTGCTAGCCTTTTTTTCTTCTATTTGTCTATTTCTTTAAAGGATAGTGGGAGTGTATTTGCTGGTAATGTTTCTATGTGGAAAAAAAGACCAAATGGCATATTCAGATAGGAATCAATCATTTTTTTAAAATAGGTAACTTACTTTATAAGCAAATAACTTTAAACGGTACTTATTTATGCAATTAATTTTTTCTCTTCCCCTTGAAGCTATAAAAACATCAGAATTCTTCCCAACAGGCAGGGAAGGTTATACACTCTCGAAAAGATTTGGATGAAAGAACTGGTAACACAGAGATCACTATAGTATTTGTCTCTGGTGATACTGGTCATTTATGTGCCCATGAATTTTTTGAAGGCCTTTACACAATGTGTAAATCTAATTATAACAGAATGATGGGAAACAACTGGAGAAAATAACGAAAAAGACCTGCAAATAGAAGTAGAAAGACTGTGGCAAAAGAAACAAAGATAATTCAATAATGATAGGTGCCTTGGATATCATCCCAAAATGTCTCAAGCACCACTTCAACGCCATCCACATTGAGAAAATCAATTGCAAAAAGTAGCCTTATTTAGAACAGCTTCCATCCTTCGGCACCATGAAAGAAAACATCTGCCTATCCCACTTCCTGGAAGGACTCAATGAGTGGATTAAAATGCCAAATACAATTGAAACTCATGACTGACTATGCAATCAACCATAAATAATAACAAACTTTAATAAATAATCCTAGGATGCACACTTCTGGCAAAGCTAACTTTCAAACAATTTATATTAATAGGAAGCCATTTACACAGATATTTAAACTGCAATTGCTTTACAGTTAAATATTCTTTCCTATTTAAGCAAAAGATGAAATAATATTTTCTTACCTCCAGGATCTTTGTCAGGATTATATTCCAAAGCATTGCTGCAGATAAGATCTATATCTATTAGAAAATCCTTTACACTCAAATAGTTGTGTTTATCAATTTTACTTATTATTGTAGAAAGATCCATTGGTACTTTGATCACTTCAAGATAATCTGAAACCTGTAATAAAAATGCAAGAGTGACACAGATTTATCATAACTCTTATATTCAACATCTTATTTACATTTTCAGCATATTAATTCAAAACACATGAACAATCAAGGCTACAACTAGCATTGATAGAATCATTATACTGTTCTGTTCACTCTGAAATTCATTTACTCTGACTTTTCAGCACAATTTAAATATTTGCCTGTACCAAAATCACCTTGTTTTGTATAAAACAAGTAATTTTAAAAAATCATTTTAAATATAGCATATGAATAAAAGACTTCAAACAAATATTAAAGCAGCCCATTCACATATATTTCTATGATATTTAGAAGACCTAGCAAATAAATTTTACATTACCAGTTAAAAACAGAATCACGAGAGTTGACAAGTTTACAATAGACGCTACATATTATAGGGGAAAGCTATGATATAAAATCAGGAAAAAAATGAAATTTCACCCATATTACTCGTGACAGATCTTTGTGTGCTGGCCATCCACATTACTATCTACTCTGAACAAATGTTGTGGATCTCTGCACAAACATCAGATATTGTTGCTCAGTTATATCTAATCAGTATAAATATTCTTAAAATATAAGGGCTGCTTAAAGGTACAGTGTCCAAAGTATTAATCCAATACATAACTTAAATAACTAAAAATATTAGTGAGGAAAAGGAAAGAAAAGGAAAGGAGATAATTTCTCTTATTTTAAAAGCTGTAAATAATCAATTATTATAGGGCTATGCAGATTCTATATTTGAGGCCGTGAAGGAATTACAAAATGAAATGTTCATAATTAAAAATTATAATGTGCAGAAGTATTAAAAGGATATAGAATCTAATGCACACAACATGCAAGAAACTCAAGCAAAATACCAACCTATAGCACAAACAAAACAAGAAATCTGACTTGGGAAAATGCCTTCTTAATCTATTCCATCCTCTCAAAGGAAAATTATATACTAACAAATCTGGGCCAAATCTTATTCATTGTTTTGAAAAGGAGAATAAAAATTAAATGTCTTGTGCAATGGAAGACAAATTTGCAATACTTAATCTTAAAATGTCAGTAACATGCCAGGAATGGACTTTAATGTAAAGTTTATTATGTTGAACTCTTTAAATGTTTTTCTCTTGGTTATATAACATTCAAAGAAAAAGATTTCTAAACTGGGTCAGGCTCAACATACACAGCAGTATATGATGGAACACTTTAATGATTCATTCCCGTTATGATTTATGACCATTCCACATCTGTTATCAACTCCTTTATGATTACTAATCAAAATAATGTAACCCTTTAAACACACGCCGTTCTTTAAAATGCTATGATTTCTTTTTATGACATCAGGCTGAGATTTTGAAGCCATTCAAGCAAGAAGGCTTAGTGCTTAAAAATACCTCTCATGGTTAGTGCCTCTCAACATGACTCTCAAGAACCAGATGTTTTCAAACACAAGGCACTCTAGAATGGGTCATTCTAACCTCACACACCAAATTAAAAGACGTGCATTTTTAAGTAGAGCGCTGAAAAATATAGTAATGGAATTCTGGAATTTTTTTTTTTAAAGAACTCTAGCAAACTCTATCACCCATTCTTTTTCAGCCTGAAAGTCTGACAGTTTTTACAATATGGCTTCTTGCTCATCCTGATTTCAGCACTGATATTCTCCCAATTGCAACTATAAACTATACATTCAAATAAATTAGCAAATGTACATACCTCTGTTAAAGCCAGGATTCTGAGATGTAAAAAAAATGAGACCAGCATAGCAATATTACTTAGACTTATATGCCACCCCATAGTGCTTTACAGTAGCGGTCCCCAACCTTTATGGCTTGGCAAGAGGGAACGAGGTGGGAACCATTCTACACAAGCATGCAAACAGGCTGCGGCCCAGGGGACTCCTGCTTTACAGCACTCTCTGGGCGCTTTACAATATCAGCATATTGCCGCCAATAATCTGGGCCCTCATTTTACCAACTTTGAAAGGATGGAAGGCTGAGTCAACCTTGATCCATCACGATCAAACTCCAGACTCTGGATTAAATTAGCCTGCAGTGTTGTATTCTAACCAGAGTATCACCAGGGCCCCTATTTGTTTTCTCTTTTTAATGTAACATAAGCTGTACAATTCAACTGAAAACAAACTCAAACCTTTTTAAGCAGGAAAAATTTAAAAAAAAGTACAATAACATGGTTTCATGAGTATGCACACCCTTAAACTAAAGCACTTTTTGATTTTATGACAGCATTAAGTCTTTTGGGGTAAGAGTTCATCAGCATGGCATATCTTGCCTTGGAAATCTTTGCTCCCTCTTCTTGCAAAAGTGCTCCAAATTTGTCAGATTGCCAGGACATCTCCTGTGCATAGCACTCTTCAGGTCAACCCACAGATTTTCAATTATTCAGGTCCGGACTCCTACTGGGCCATCACAAAATTTTGATTTTCTAGAGAAGCCATTATTTTGTTGATTTGATGCTATGGAAGGTTTGTTGTTTTGTTGAAAGGTGAACTTCCTCTTCATCTTCAGTGTTTTAGCAGAGATCTGGAGGCTTTGTGCCAAAATTGACTGATATTTGACACTGTCCATCATTCCCTCCATCTTGACAAGAGCCCCAATTCCAGCTGAAGAAAAGCAGCCCCAAATGCTGCCACCACCATGCTTCACGGTGGGTATGGTGTACTTTTGTTGATGTGCAGTGTTGCTTTTGCATCAAACATACTTTTTGAAATTATGGCCAAACAGTTCGACCTTGGTTTTCATCACACCATAACACATTTTCCCATATGCTTTTGACAGACTTGATGTATGTTTTTGTAAATGTAGTCAAGCTTGGATATTTTTCTTTGTAAGACAAGCCTTTATCTTGCCACCCTACTCGACATCCCAGATATATGAAGAAAACAAGCGATAGTTGTCACTTGTAGTACATAACCAGTATTTGCCAGAAACTCCTGCAGCAATTTTAAGGTTGCTGTAGGACTTTTGGCAGCCTCTTGGACCAGTTTTCATAAATTTTAGAGGGACATTGAGTTTCTGATAATATCACTGTTGTGCTATATTTTTCCCGTTTGTTAATGATTGTTTTCACTGTGTTCCATGGTATATCCAATGCCTGCAATTTTTTTTATACCCGTCTCCTGATTGATATCTTTCAACAATGAAATCCTTGGATGCTTTGTAAGGTCTTTGCAGACCATGGCTTTGGTTGTAAGAGGCAACTGAGTAAAAGCCAAAAAAAAGTCCTACTGGAACACCTTTATATAGACTTGAACAGAGTCACTTTAACTGATGGCAGATGTGAAATACAATACAATACAATACAATAGCAGAGTTGGAAGGGACCTTGGAGGAAACATAGGAAACCCTATACCGTTTCAGACAAATGGCTATCCAACATCTTCTTAAAGACTTCCAGTGTTGGGGCATTCACAACTTCTGGAGGCAAGCTGTTCCACTGATTAATTGTTCTAACTGTCAGGAAATTTCTCCTCAGTTCTAAGTTGCTTCTCTCCTTGATTAGTTTCCACCCATTGCTTCTTGTTGTGCCCTCAGGTGCCTTGGAAAATAGTTTGACTTCCTCTTCTTTGTGGCAATCCTTGAGATATTGGAACACTGCTATCATGTCTCCCCTAGTCCTTCATTAAACTAGACATACCCAGTTCCTGCAACCGTTAGTCTCCAGTCCCCATATCATCTTTGTTGCTCTTCTCTGCACGCTTTCTAGAGTCTCCACATCTTTTCTACATCGTGGCGACCAAAACTGAATGCAGCATTCCAAGCGTGGCCTTACCAAGGCATTATAAAGTGGTATTAACACTTCATATGATCTTGATTCTATCCCTCTGTTTATGTAGCCTAGAACTGTGTTGGCTTTTTTGGCAGTTGCTGCACACTGCTGGCTCATATTTAAATGGTTGTCCACGAGGACTCCAAGATCCCTCTCACAGTTACTACTACTGAGCAAGGTACCACCTATACTATATATGTGCATTTCGAAATGACTATTTACCATGAGTTTGAAATGGGATTGGTTAATTCTGAACACAGCCACACCCCTATGGATAAGAGGGTGTGAATACTTATGCCCAAGGGTGTCAAACCCCCTGCATCAGGTTGATGTTACCTGTATCATCACTTTTTTGCGTGCCTTCGTGGGCATAGCCTGCACATGATGCATCCGACCAGCGGGCTGACAGTTTGACACCCCTGACTTATGTAGTCACATTATTCCTGTATGTTGTTATTTTACCCCTAAAAGATTTCACTTTATTCTTCAATTGAATTGTACAACTTATATATTACAGTAGGTGGGGGGGAAATCTGAACAGATTTATCTTGGTCTGATTTTTTTTTAACATCTCAAAACCTGGTTTTTTAACAAGGGTATGTAGACCTTTTTGTATCTACTTTAGGCTCCATGGTGTGTCAACTTCTGCTGTCTCTGAAATTATGATCCAGCCCAGTTATACACTTGCAAAGTGCAGTTTCTTTAGATCAGTCTTTCTCAATTAGCACCTTCACATGTTGGATTATTCCCGTGCTGATAGAAATATTAAAATATAATTGAACAACCTGAAAATGTTAAGATAAGAAAGGCTGGTTTAAATCATATAAGAGCACATAAATGATACCCTTTAAATGTGATTAGGGTGATCTGCGTTGCAAAATTCCCTTTCAGCTTCTGCATCTCTTTGCTGCCACCTAGTGGTGATCTGGATTTTTGCAGCCCTCGTCTTATAGCTCTATCCATGAATAATCAAACCCCATACATGCTAGCATAATGGAAATTACATTTTTTCCTAAGCACATCACAATTTTTATTTCTTGAATTATTTGTGCAAAATTGAGCTCTGAAGTTGACCAAAATGAATAGATGTCACAAGATTAAAAAGTGACATCCTATCTATAGAAATGACACTATAACAGCTTTGCCTCATAACAATTATTATTTTTTTCTTTTTCTGCGCAAAGCCCAAAATTCTTTAAAGTGGCTCAAACTTGACTAGGCAATTCCAATCCTTTTGTTAATTTGTTATACAATAATTACAGAAATAGTCAGATCAAATAGTGTAGTTAAAGCCTTTAATTTTTCAATTCTCTCTTCAGCTAGAAAAAGGTAAGAGGAGAGATTAATGTCCAATTTGCAGAATTTTCTGGATTAGGCAATATAATTCACTAATTTTTTTCTTATACTTCCAATAGCTCAATGTTGTTTCTTCAGGCATTTATGTCAGTGACCAATTAAAATTATTGCCACATTATGGAAGTTACAGCCTGAACAAGGCAGTGTTAGCCAGATGTTTATGGCAAGATAGCTGTGGCTTTAAAAGTTAAGATTATGCCACCATCCCTGAAAATGCGCAAAATAGGTTAGATGTAGATATTGTCTATGAAAATAAGTAAGAGGTAAATTTTGGATTAATTGCTAGTAGGTCAACTTCATTGTTTGCACATTACTGAAACAAGACCTCTTCAATATCCACCGGTTTGCTGAAGATGTTAAAGCGCTTGTCTGTAGCCAGCCTCTTGGTAACATCTCTGAGAAACAGCCGCAGCTCTCTCAATGTATTTTCTTCCTGGTCTTCCATTCTCTGCTTTTCTGCCTCTGACAACTGGCGGCTAGGAGGTGGCAATGCAAGAGGAAGCACCTCCATATCGGAAACAGCTAAAACAAAACTTGAAGTCAGGCAAAATAGGCTTTTTGATTACAACTTCCACATACTAAAGCCCCAAACCATTTTGCTTCTCATCTCAGTTTATAGATCATGGAAAAACCAGAGGTGGGTTCCTACCGGTTCGGCCTGGTTCGGCCAAGTAGGTAGTTACTCGGCCTGCCACGCCCCCAAACTGGTTCTCTCAGCGGCGCCATAGGCGCCACCATCTAATTTTTTGCTTCTGCGCATGCATAGAAGCATTTTTATGCGTGAACATGCACAGCGCATCCCTGAGCAAATCAGCAGTAGCAGCAGCCAGAACCCACACCTGGGAAGAACCCCTGGGAATTGTAGAACAATAAGCAATTGTATCCATCCATCTTTCAACCAAGGAGGTATTGACACTAAAAATGAAGGCAGCCATTTCAGGCTCCTACATAATATAAATATATCATTTATATTAATAAATACCAGGGAAATTGTGAATAGTATAGACCACAGAGAATTTGTGCTCCTCCAGATATTCTACAAGTTTCCAGCATTCCTTCACTACTGCCCTTGCTGATTGGGGTTAGCTGGATTGAGAAATTCAAAAATTCAGAAATTCAAGAATTGAAGGACCAGAGTTTCCCTAGGCTGCTGTAAAAGATTATGCACTACACACATTTGTGACACTTAATTCCAAAAGGAGTTGGGACCAGGCTTAAGAGCCATATGCTGTGAGATTATAAATTCCCCTCAAGCATCTTCTAAGGGATTAGGAGGCAATTTTCAGGCCAATGGTTGCATTTAGTTTTTTAAAGTGCTATGCCAGATAGCTTCTGTCCACTGTGCTGCGGTTGCTTCAGTGACACCACCATGCTGCTACTGTCATGTGGTCCAAATTTTCAATATTCCCTAAAAGCTTCCTGGTCCCTCATGTGTTCCCTCACTCCCCCGCCCCCCCACACACACCCGGCAGCAGTAATTTACTCATATTCTGGGAAGAGGGAGGGTTTCCAACTCTCACTACCAGTTTTCCGTAAGGAAATTCAACAATGACCCAATAATCCCAGATTGTATAGTTTGATTTCTAATTATCCTCACCAATGAATTCCCCCCCCCTTCAGAACTATTACGTAAAATGTTCATGCAGATCATATTTTAACTGAACTACCAGAAAAAATATTCTTCTGGTTAATCATCGCCACAATATTCTATCACAATATAATTCAGTAAGAATTTTGCCTGAACAGGCAGCATTCCACCTTCATTTATAGCGACCTATATTAGCTATTTCATCCTACACCTGTATTTACCCAGCTTGGAAATATAAACCTGGAATTGTGAACAGTTCAATTTTGGCATGCCCCACAATCTTTGTCACTTAATTTTTTTAAGACTGCAATGTGTATTATCTGCTAATTGTGAACAGATCTGGGACTTGAACTTTGATTCCACCTTAAAGCTAAAACTGAGGAGTTAGGAAATTACATTTGAACATAAATCCCTTGTGGTATAATCATCTGTTGGTGTTATTTTTAATGTTCAAATACACAAACAATGTGATTTTCAAATGGAAAAGACATACATTCCAGATTTTCTAAATCATTAATTTACCTGTGTGTTTTCTCCTTGGAGGTGGCATTGATGCCTGGTTGAGAACCAGCTCTTGGAAAAATTTGTGCCTGTCTTCTTTGCTAGGTCTTTGAATATAAAAAACCTCTTCATACTGAATTTTAAAGATGCACTTCACCTACATGAAAATAGCGGCAATTAGAAGTATTGAAAATATATTCTGGCTATTTCATAGCCAATGGTTAATGGTTCAGCAGTGAGGAAGAATATTAATCCATATGTGAGAAATTGAAATAGTCTGCCAATTCATAATTTATGTTGTCAGGAATATTTCAAGTCCCTGTAGGGATACCTGTTGCCCTTTCTCTATGAATGATGGACCACAATTCTCAACGGCCCACATCAGTTATTCTAGTGGTCCAAAGAATGAAAATTTTAACTCAATACTACTGATTAAATGCTATGAAAGGATTTTTCCATGGTGTCTATCAAGTAGTATCTGGTCTCAAATTACTTTCTAAAAAAAAAAACTAACTTAAACATCTGTTGCCCAGAATATTGAGTCCCACAAAATACTTAAAAAACAGTGCAGATGGCTAGAGCCATGTACCATTTGAATATGGCTACAATAATAGGTGAATATTTTTCCTAAAGTTTTTTAGGAAAATCTGACTAATCATAGAACATTTTCTCTCTCTCCCCTCCGACCTATGACCATGTATTTAGTCTCTGCTTATAAATTTGCTACGAACATAATGGAAAGAATGATCAATATTACTCCTTGTGGCCCATGCTATGTTTAAAACTGGGCTGTTTTTTCATATCTTTACAACTTCTTTTTGTTTGACTTTGCTTTTTATTTGTAACATTAAACATTTATTTGTAACTTTTTAATGTAACATTAAAAAAATTAAAAAGATAACCCCTTCCCTCCCTGCCCTTCCTCTACTACTTTATGAATCGTCAGAATAAACATTCAAACTTTTCTCCTATATATGATATAGCAGAATTAGATAGGTCATCTTGGCAAGTAATAATTTATTATTAACTAGTTATACTGAGTTCATTGGCAATAATTATTGTCAAAACAAGGTAATGTAGAAGAAAATCAACAGTTCACAATGTTTTCCAATTAATGCAAAGCCAGTTATTTCAGCAATCAGGATGTAGAAGCATGAGCATATAGACCAGATATTTCTTCCATTTTAGATCATTTGCAAATATAATTACTATCTAGACAAAAATGTGGAGAGCCACTTTGGTGTAGTGGTTAAGATACCAGGCTAAAAACTGGGAAACTAAGAGTTGTAGTTCCACTTTGGACACAAACTCAATTGGGTGACCTTAGGCCAGTCACTCTCTCTTAAAGCTAGGAAAAAGTCAATGGCAAATCACTTCTGAAATTTTATCAGTAAAATTGTAGTCAAAACTGTCTCAGGGGTACACACCCCTCAAAAAAAATTGTCAACCTCTCATAACTCAATTTTTTTTAAAAAAAATCCTCTGTCTAATAATTCATATTAGCAAATTGCAACCTCTATTTTTAACAAATTGCAGCAGAATTGCTAAATTCCCTCAGATATAAAAAGATGCTCCACATAATACAGTGGGGAGTGGAGGTTTTCCTCGCATATACAAAAACTGACAAAAGTTTTGCATTAACAAATTAGAATGGTTCAGATCTGGTTCGCGATTACCTAAGTGGTGCTTGGTAGCACAAAGAAATCACTCCATGCTCACCTCTTCAGGCAACTCACTATACATTGTTTCAGAGGTAGAAAGTAGAAATATTGGTGAGAATGATGGTATATCTTGCAGCAAAGTTAGAAAAGTTGCTCTCACAGTTTCACTGACAGCTTCCCACCAATCACCAATATGAGGCATGTAAACAATACTTGGTAGGGTTCTCCTTGCTTCACGAAAGATCTAGTTGAGAATATTAACATTAACAAATATTATCATTAGCGAAATTTTCAACCAATACTTACAACTGCGGGCAGAAATAGGGTTATGGAACATTTCAAACAGATGTTTTAAGTGTTTACATATGCATAGGAGTGTTTGTCACATAAATCATATATTTATGGTTTCAAATTGTCCTTGGATAACTGTATAGTAAAGCCATGATTTTATAGGCCCCCATTTAACAAATTTTGATTTTACTTGCAAAAGTTTACAGCGCAAAAGAATACTGTTTCGCAAACCAATCTAGACTGAATTTGCAAAATGTATGTAATTTATTTCAGTGTACTACTTTAGGTAATTCATATACCTAAAGTAGTACACTGAAATAAATTACATACATTTTGCAAATTCAGTTTTATCAAATATTTCACTTTAGCAGAACTCTTCCCCCAACTTTTCCATTAAATTGTTAAATAAATGCTATACAATACAACCTCAATCTTTTACTATAAACAATGGCTTTGCATCTGAACATTAAATATTATACATGTATTACATACATAAAAATTAATATTTAAAATTGCTACCAATATTAATTTTGAAGCATAATTGCTTATTGAAAAGCTATTTTTCTATATACCAAATGGGATCTGCGAAATTCTAAATTTTCACCTACAAAGTTAACAAACAAAAAACTATTTCTCTCTCCCATACTGCCCCTGCATACTGCTCCCTTGTTCCTCCATTATAAAAAGGGACACAATATATTCTATCTGCCTGAGAGTTCCACCTCCTCACAAATAGAACATAGACAAGATGACAGATCTTCCCAGTGGTGGTCCCCATCCTTTGGAAGACTCTTATCTCAGAAGTATGGCTCCAACAAATTAAGTTAAATTCTACTACTCTGTTTAAATGTGTTTTCTGTATTTCATTTCTGGAGCTTTTGTGTCTCTTATAATTGGGATGGGGTATGAAATAAAATGAAGTATTTTAAACTACAATGCAATAAAACTGAAAGAAATGTTCACTACCCCAATACCTGGCTTGGGCATAAACTGAAGTCCAGAAGAGAGGAAAAACTGTTTTAAAATATGAAAGCACCTGTGAACTGATTTTCTATGCTGTCCTGAAACACAATTTGATGGTGAATAATTTTGCTAAATCTACATTTCAAAAAAGGGTTGGTTTCTAAAATGGTTGCTGCAGCCATTGTTATCCTGCTCAGTGGCATATCTTAAGCATATTTGCTTAATTCAAGCTTCACTAAGGAGAGCAAGTAGTTCATTCTGTAAGGATTAATCTTAATCTAATTTAAACAGATTCCTCTCCTCCACTTGCTGTTTTTCATATATAACCTGTAGCTGTATTTCTTCTATGACTGTGTGCTTCATCTGTGTCATCCAAAAACAATATAAGCATAAAAAGCTATCCAACTGCCAAATCAGAGTAAAAATAATCAGAAAGAAGATTCTTTCTTTACTAGGCTATGCCCCTCTTTTTCAAACTTTGTTTTATATATGGATTCTAAACACAGAAGAATCCTTAACTATTTCTAGCAACACAATACCTCAGAGAAATACTGAGATATTCAGCTTTTATAATTTAATGAAGGCCTCTATACACATTGAAAATTCAATAGGTGCTACATTAATCAAAAGTGATATAAATGCAAACTAACCTGTGCACATGATTCTTCAGGCGTTTTTGCACTGACCGAATATAGTGCTGGCAGATCTAATCTGTGTACAGCAATTTTTTCAAGAGAATGTAATAAAGCTGGAGCAAGGTGTGAAGTCTGACCTGAATCCCTTTCTCCGGAAAGCAGTAATCTTGGCCTGTAAGATGTGGGCTGGTGATAAGCTGACCTGCAACAAAAATAATATTTTGTTCAGATCTACAAAGCACTTATCATAACCTATATTTTTACTACGTTAGCAGAATGTGAATAGCCTGAAATATTTCATCTTACTACATTTTCATTGTCTAACCATTTATCAATACTTTGACAGAGTCAAAATATTGTGTTTTCAATTTACACACAAAGAGATTAATGTGAATTGTGCTATATAAGCAAAAAAGCAAAATGACTAATTCCTCATAAAAGACTTGTTGCAGCTGTACTATAGGCTTTCTGCTCCAGGCAATACAACAATCACAATAAAAACTATTGAGGCATAACCCTGAATTATTTTATATTATTTTACATTATACCTTATTCTGTTTTAAACTGGAAAGTCATTTAGGCAACGACAAGCTGCAATTATGATAGTGAACAAAAACAAACTAATTCAGTTCTAACACACATACATAACAATTTAAATAACCTATACATTTTCTGATACATTTTCTTAGTATGAGGTTTATTGTAATCGTCTTTTTGCTTATATTAAAGGGATGTACTAAATATTAAGAGAGTTTCACAACACACAACCCAACACAAAAAATTACACTTCTTCGAATCATTAAAACAACCGTGTCTCTTACAAAGCTCTTCTGGGTGTTCTGGAAGATGTTCTGTAATGCCCACTTCACTTTGCTTTCTGCCTAGTGAAATTGACAATCATGTTGTTCTCCTAGAAAAATTACCCTTAAAGATTTCCTTAAAACACTACAAAGTTTTTACAGAATCAAAACTTGAATTAAACTTTCATATTACAGATGAAAAGCAGCATATTTAGCAGATAAGTGATATTAAAGACTTTAAGCATGCTACTGATTTTTAAAACAATTACAAAATATCACTATCCTTATCATAAATCTCCCGATATTTTATTAGTTTTATTATGATTGCAATAAAACTATTCTGAGTAAATATGTATATAGCAAAATAAGAAAATGTAACCCTTGACCTGCATGGAACCTGTGCCTTTCCACCCCCTAAATTGCTTCCATTGATTCCCCAAAACCTGCTGCACTGTTTTGTTTGTTGTTTGTATTCTGAAAAGAAGCCTGGACCAGAGCCATGATCCATCTATGGATAAAAAAACTATCCTATTATATTTTTCCACTGGAAGGGAAGAATATAATTGTTTCCATCTGTTCTCAAGAAAACCTCTGCAGATTTTTTTTTTCTGTCAGAGAATTGGGAGTCTCAACAAGTCTCAGTGTCACAATGCCTCCCATTCGGTGTGTGTGTGTGTGTTTAGAATGTCATATAAAAAGCACAAGTAAGAAATTAAGTGTAGGAAGTAAACACTTTTAAAAATGGACCTTTCCGTTTTGGTTTCTCCAGCTTCTGAAATCAGCAGCCTCACAAATCCTTTCACTGGGCAAAAATCATATAGGCCTCTTACTGTGTCTACAGAGAGCTGTCTAACAATCCCTTTTAAAAAGTGTGTTTGTTGCTGGAGAGGGACAAGCCACAAGATTATCTAGAGGTTTACAATGAAAAATATTCTAGGCATCTGGCAAATAGTCACTTGAATTTGCTTGGATTGATTTAGTATAGGGTTCTGACTGAACAAAGCCTCTCAAGATGACAATAGCAAGATCTTCTGTGGCTCCCTAGATAGACCTAGTTTGAGTCTATAACTTCTGAGGTCTCTTCTCAGGTCAGATTTTCAGATCTACTAACACAGCCACCTGTTTCCAAATGGTCCTCATTTCACCACGTCACTTAGGGATGTTCAAAGTTACAATGGACCTCACCAAAAGTCAGGGGGAGGGACTGGTACCCAATTTGATGGGTCCTGAATTCACATTTGCTATTCAAGGATTAGATGGCAGCAGTGACCAGGAAAACCTTTATGCAAATTCATCAAGGGTATCAATTATCCTGTCAGAAGGTACAATCTTTCATGCTTGTGTTTAGACTATAACAATGAATTTACCATGGGGCTGTCCTTGAAGGCCATTCAGCATGTGCAGCTGGTCCAGAAGGCAGCAGTACAGGCCATTAAAGGCATGTCCATATAACATCTTTGTTTTGTGAGTAACAATAGTTATAAGCAGGCATTTGGGTGCAAATCAAGGTGATAATTATTATCTATAAAACCCTTCATGATATAAGGCCTGGGGGACTGTCCATTAACCATAGCTCCTGCCCGCCCTAAATTATTTGGCCCAGTTGGCATAGTCAGGGTCCCATCAATTAAACTGTATAACCTGAGGGGGAAGTGCATCTTTTCTGCCATAGCACCTGATTCTGGACCAATATTCTCCCAGAGTTTGTGCGTCTATTACATTGACCTTATTTAAACAAGCCCTTAAAACTTGGTTATTCCCTCAATGTCTTGGGCTGGAATGAATAGCAGACCCCTTGTGAAATGATTGGCATATAGAAATTCATGTTATTATTCTCTAAACATTTGCTTTTTGTATTGTTTATACAGTACANGGAGTAGTCCATGTGACCGCCTGCAGATTTCCTCTACCCAGGCTTGTGTAGAAGTTGTCGCACTGCACATAGAATGTGCTGTGATGTTGGATGGTGGCGTGAGATGACGAGCTTGATAGGCCCGTGAGATGGCTGACCTGATCCAGCGCCCTATCATCAAGAGGACGCATTAAGTCCCTTATTGGTGGAATGGAGAGAGATGAAAAGGGCCTCAGTACGTCTGAATTCGGCCGTCTTAGTGATATTGATCTTGAGGGCATGACGCAAATCCAGGATGTGCCACTTACGTTCAAGCCTGTGTGTTGGATTGGGGCAAAAGTTGGGAATAGTCAGATCTTGAGCTCGATGAAAGGCCGAGTTTACCTTAGGGACAAAGGTAAAGCCGAAGGACCTCTCGGTTCGGGTGGAAGACACACAGATCCGATCTGATGGACAGCACCGCAATTCCGAGACCCTCCTTGCCAATGTGATGGCAACTAGAAAGTCTGTCTTCAGTGTGAGGTGTTACAATGAGGCTGACCTCAAGGGTTCGAATGGCGGTTCAGTGAAGAAGTCAAGGACCTTGGCGAGATTCCACGTGGGGAATCTATGGATTACAGGAGGGCTGAGGTTGGAAGCATCGCTGAGGAATCGACGAACATGTGGGTGCAAGGAGAGAGGTTCAGGCCAATCCAGAGAGAGATGGTACCTCTTTTGCCTTGGAGAGCTCCGGCCCCATGTTGTATAGACGCTTGTCCAAGGTGTTGGGGAGAGAACCTGTACCTGGGGAGACCCGCTGGTTTTGGACGACGTCGATGAACAGTCTGGGCGATGGAATTACCTCTTTCTCCACCTTGGGTTGGATGAACATGGGATCAGTGGTGTCCGTCTTGTCCACTTCCGTTGCCTGAAAAGTCTTGGGGGCAGGAATTCCTGCTATCTTTTTCGCCTTAAAGAGAAGAAACCGAAAGATAGCTAGTTTAAAGAGGCCAACAAATGTAGATGGATATGGAGGGAGACCCTCGTCCTCCAAGAGATCCGAATCACGCGCAGCGTGTTCTTCCTCTCTAAAAACCGATGGTTGGGTGGAGGTTCCAGGCAGTCATGTGATGAAGAGGCCGAGAGGTCGCCATTTCTACGCCTGGAAGTCAAAGAAGACGACTTGCGTGGAGTAGAATGGGTAGAAGACCTATGTTTAAGACCCGCTGCTATGCCCTGTTCGATGGCATGGGAGATGATAGTAGCCATATCAGGGGTGTAAGGCTGCGGCCTAAATGAAGGAGATACATCCCCTGGGACAAAATTTCCCCCTCTGGAATGAGACTCCTGTCACCCTCAGACTCCTCCCCACTGCAGATTTGTTCATCTGTGCACCTGGCCTCCTCAGGTTGAATAATGGAGGCTGTAGGCAATAGGTCATCCTGAGTCCGATGATAACTCGGGAGGAGGGCTAGCTTCCACAGGCCTTTGGGCCTGGAATGGATGGGGTTCTGCATGTTTGGTTTTGTCCTTGGCCTTCCTGGGGGGCACTTGCAGGCCTCTGCCAACCTCTTCCGAGGGGGTGGTAGCTGCAGGCCTACAACTGGGCCTGGGGGCTTTTGAGGAGGGCTCCGTAGGTAAAGCCTCAGGAGCTGGCCTGTGCTTATTCACCCTGGCCCTGGGAGATCCCGCTGAAGGACTTGGGGCTTGAGAAGTTTGAGGAGCCTGTGGGTCTTGGGTGGGAGTGGAAGCCATAACCAGTACTNTTTTTGAGGGAAAAAGGTGTGTTTTATACTCCGAAAAATAGGTACTTTTCCACAAAGTCATTAAATAGCTATCAAGAATCATTATTTGTACTGTTTGGTTCTTAAAAACCTAATGTCAAGATCTGATATATGAAAAAATGGTTAAACATCTCAATGTTTATATTAAAATAGTGCTGTACATAATATACTAACATGCTTACTTGGCACCGCAAGAGATATGTTGTTTAGTTCTTGATGAATACAGTACCAGAGTTATTAACTTACATTGTATAATGAAGGTAAGGTTTATGTACAGCAGTTGGTAATTGTTTCTTTGGTGATCCTGGCTGGCAACTTGTTTCAAATATCGATGAAACATTTTCATCTTCACTATCATCCAAAATTAAATTTGATGCACCTGTTTAATTAAAATAAAATTTGTATTAAAATATAATATTGATCCTCTTAAAAGTATTAAAAGTAGAATCGTCTTCTAATACAGATTAATATATGCAATCCTTTCACATAGAAAAATTTAAAACATCAACCCCAACATATTAAAATATTTAATCTGAAGATCTTTATATAATTGATGTTCTCAGCTATCAACACAGTTCCTTTAGGAGCTATCATTCTGGTTAGAGACAGTGATAAAAAGTAAAGGAAAAAGAAGTATTTTGTATCAACTACTTAAAAACCTCCTAACAGTCTTCATCAAAAAATTATCAGAACATAAGTTCTACGTAGTCTCAACATTTTCTGACCTTAAGGACAAAATAACAAAGAAAATCCAACCCAATGAGATTTAAAGGTCAGTCATGCAATTTCTGCATTCTTAGACCAGGGGAAAACTAAGGAACCTATTGGGTTTCTGAGAATGTCAAATTGCCAAGTCCAGTCTAAACATTGCTAAACAAAATAAGCTTGGAGTAAATCTGTACTGTGAAGAGAGCAATAACAAACATAGAACAAGTTATTTCGGAATATTCATATCTAAAAAAACCAAAATAAATATATTTTTCTAATATTTAGAACTTCATTCAAGTGTATACACGAAGTTGTTTTATTTCAATGCCTTATCTATCATTGTTTAGAATAAGTAATAACAGATAACACAATATTTTTCCCACCAAAATTTGTCTGGCTAAACAAAATCCAGTGATTTATTGAGCCAGGAAAGATTTATAACTTTGCATTTGCAAGACTTTTCACTGCATCACATTAATGTAGAAGAAGCTCTGAATCATATTCTTCCAACAAAATATTCCAATAAAAGTTAAGAGTCACTCTTATATAGAAGTGATACTCATTGCCCATTATCTCACTTTATTCATTAACTGTTGAGGACCTATGACAGCAATATCTGAAAATCAATAAGAGTCATCTATAAAACCAAGAAATATATAACTGATTAAATTACTGTACAAGTAGTCTTTGACTTATGACTGATCGCTTAGCAACTGTTAAAAATCATGATGAGCCTCCATAGGGCTACATATCAACAGGATTTGGAGTTACAATGGCCGCTCTCTCCCAATAGTCACACAACTGGTTCTTGGGAATCAGCCCACAGTTATGGCCATTTGCAGTGTCCTACAGTCATGTGATTGCAATTTAAGGTTGTTGTTTTTTGCTGGATTCCTACATTTACTTCTGGCAAAAAAGGCCCATTGTGGACAATGGATTTGCTCAATGACCAATTGTGGAAAACGACCACAATTGCTAGGGTAATCAACTTAACAAATCATAAAATTGGGTGCAATCACATGAGGACCCACTTAATGTACAGCATGACTTCCAGGCACAATTATGGTCATAAACGGAGGACTGTTTGTATTTGATTATTTATTGGGTTTATGTCCTGCTGCACAGTGGTTAGGGTGCAGTACTGCAGGCCACTTCAGCTGACTGTTATCTGCAGTTCAGCGGTTCTAATCTCACCGGCTCAAGGTTGACTCAGCCTTCCATCCTTCCGAGGTGGGTGAAATGAGGACCCAGACTGTGGGGGCGATATGCTGACTCTGTAAACCGCTTAGAGAGGGCTGAAAGCCCTATGAATTGGTATATAAGTCTAACTGCTATTGCTATTGCTATTGCAGTCAATCACCTCTTGGTGGCTGATAATAAAATGAAAATTTAAACATCTAAATTCTGACATATATAAGAATAAGAGAAATAAATATTGTATAATACATTAAGTCAGCAAACTCATGAAAATGTTTTCTAGAATAAGCCAGTCTTTAATCGTTTCCAAAAGGCTGGAAGGGAGGGAATATGGAATGACAGACTGCTTGAGGTTTGTGTTCTTCTTCTCTTCTTGGCCCTTCCTCATTGTCAGGAGGATTTATCTGCCAATAGAACTACAACTGCCAATCAAATTGCAGCACTGGGCAGGAGGGCAGGCAAGATGGCTGCAAGTAAGTTTTGCTAACACAGGCTTCATTAGGAAGAGGTTACGAATCAACATAAAGAGACAAACTAAAAGATGAGAAGAGGCTACAAAAAGGAGGCTGAAGAAAACTAGAGGGGGGGGGCAAATGATTCCTTCCCTCAGAACTGTTATGAGGCAAAAGGTCTTCAAGCGTTCAGATGGAATAAAGACTTAGAAGGGGGGAGGAATCAAGAAGGCGGGTCAGAAACAAGAAAACAAAGATTAAAAAAATAGTAAGCAAAGATTTTAAAAAAGTAAAAACTTTGACAGAACAGAAACAGCAAAAAGAAACTGAAAAGAAAAGACAGATTGAACTCTATAGAAGAAAATATCTAAGAATGGTCTTGAGCAATTCTGCAAAGATACACTGGGAATAAGACAACAGAAACATGGAAGTCGGTCACAAACAAATATATAGGGAATATAGAATAGAAAGCTATGAAAATATAGTGAGCTTGGACTTGGAAGAAAATAATGTAGATAAACAGCTTACAAAGAACAGTTAAAATAGAAAATCATTTTATTACTAAGATTCATTTCTGCACTAGTCAAAGGAATTGATAATTTACAATGTTCCTGTTTCATTTGTAAGCGTTCCTTTTGTAAAATAAAAATCTCTTTCCATCCATGGAAGGAAAATACAAAAACACAATCAATTTCCAGTGTTTTGTGTCTATTGAGTCTGGGTCAATTTGGTTATTAGTGATTTTTTTTAAAAAAAAGTCTTACAAATGTCAGCCAAAGTAATTTTCAGTGAGTATTCTAAGGCAATAGTGCTACAACAGAGAAGCAGCGCCACCTAGCGGGAATTTCAAGGACCAATCGTAATCACCATTTGTTCAATGTCACTGTAACTTCAAATGGTTTCTGAATGAGTGGTCATTAACTGCGGATTACCTGTACTTTCTTTTTTCTCAGAACTCAAGGCAAGTTTCTGAACTTTTTGTTTTCATAATGCTTTCTGAATGTCTTCCCCAAAGTCATCCTCTTGGCTCCCTAAATTCAGAGAGCAAAGAACTCTCAAATTATTTCATATATTCCCATTTTTTTTCTGCCATCAACTTGTTTTTATTTTACACTTTATTGCCATTCACTTCTCTATCATTTATTGCCATTCACCGCTCTATCATTTAAAAAAATCAATCTTAGGTTTCTACAGAAACTCAGGGGTTGCCATAAAATGGATTAAAAACATAGAAATACCTTCTCTTTTGTCACCCTGGCTGAATTCAGCATGAGGAAATACTTTATGTAAAACACCCAGCATTTCGTTGAAGGTTCTTTCCAACAATGGCCTTATGATGGGAGATAAAGCATGCCCTGATGATGTTACAGCACGTTGAGAAGCAGGCACAATATTCTGCATTGCATGATAGAAGTCTTGTGCACTGAGAACTATTGAAGAAACATCAAGCTGCAATTTTTGACTGCTCACATAGATCTGAGGATAGCGCCGTCGCAGGGCAATCAAGGCAGCTTCAGTACAAAGTGCTTTTATGTCAGCACCACAGTATCCTAAGGCATAAAATAAAACATACAGTGGTTCTATTAAGCAGCATCGATATTTTGTGCATGTCAAGCATGTCCACAAAGCTGAATGTGAGCAGCAATATTCTACTGGATTCATACTGCACTGAGCAGTGAGTGTCACTTAGATGATCTAAGAAAATAAATATTGACATTCATTATCTTATTAAACAAAGAATACTCAAGAATTCATGTGAAGAAACCTGTAAGAGAAAATCTAGGAACCTATTGAAAAAAGGTGAAAATATACATATACAAATTAATATTAATGGTGGTCTATACCAGTGTTTTTCAACCTTGGCAACTTGAAGAAGAAGGAAGGAAGGAAGGAAGGAAGGAAGG